TGAGGTATTGCAGTATAAAAGTTATTTTAATCATCCCGTCAACCACACAACTTTCTGGGAGCACGTGATTTTCAGTAGCTTTGGTTCATTGCAAGAAAACTCTGGACCGGGTTGGACGTACGGTGTCTGATGAGTAGGAGTCAGGCTTTGCTTGATCCAATGCTGGTGAACCGCCAGATGTTTACAGGCAGATGTTATGGTTGGAAGGAAACGCATATCAAAGGGGTGGATTGTTTATTTATTTAGTTGCTCCAAGCTGGGGGTTGTCTCAAAAGTTGGTTTGCAATACCGGTGGCCGCAGTAACAGCCCGATAAAAAAACACGATTGGGTTTTTGTTCCCGTGCGTACAGAAACGTGTCAGGAGCCATGCGCACGGCGTTTACTGCCTTTTTTTAGACCTGCCAAAGTAATGGGTGTGTTATGGCCAGCACACTGCACTCCTCGTCCAGAGGTGGCTGTTTTATTTTGATTACTCATCTCCCACGCGAGGCAGTGGATACAATGGGGGGGGGGGTGGGCAATGGGTTCCACCACAGTTGATCAGCGGGTGCCACCTGTGGTGGGGGTGAAGCGTGGGTACGCTCGACTCTTCCCAAACGCCTGGTCAGCCTGGAAGAGTAGACCAAATACCCTTTCACAACCAATATTATCCGTAATAGAGGTTTTAGGGTTAGATCGTGTAAATATGAATGTATCGTTGAAACCGGCACCACCCGGCACAAACAATTAGTGAGGTTTGTCACGTGAACAAAACATTCCAATTCGATACCAGTACAGCACACCGATGTGTTGGAGAATAACAAATTGGCACGTTCTGTTTACCTGTCAAACCTTACGAATTGGCTGTGTCGGGCGGTGGCGGGTTTAACGACACATTTACGCGATCTAACCCAAAAACCTCTTTATGGAAAACTTCATTCTGTGGGCACATTGCTGCGTTGCTTTTCATAAGTTTAGTTTTCCAAAACCACCACTTCCTCCTTTTGTCCGCCACCACTGTGTTTTCTGGCGGTTTACCCCCCCAAACTAAATTATGGAACTTGTCGTTGTTCTCGAAGGTTGTTTGTAGATACAGTGAAACCTTCGATTGCGAGCATAATTCGTTCCGGAAACGCGCTCGTAATCCAAAGCACTCGTATATCAAAGCGAATTTCCCCATAAGAAATAATGGAAACTCAGATGATTCGTTCCACAACCCAAAAATACTGTATTCATATAAAAATGATTAATATAAAATACCTTTTTATATTTTTATTATTTAAATGTAATATAAAGTAATCAAATTTATTAATTGCATTTAATCGTGGCTGGTGTGAGGGATACGAGAGAGAAGAGAGGAGGGTTATTGTGTAGGACGACTTTCACTTGCAGTACAGTTTACTAAAGAACAGTCACTACACTTGGGCACAAAATGAAAAAATGCTTTACGCACACACGTGGTCACAACACTATAGTAAACAGTATACACGTGGTCACAACACTTCACTGTAGTAAACAGTATACGCTCGCACGGATATTGACTATACGAGTGAGGCACGCCGACTGATACCGAGCATGGGAGATGATTACCCACAATCCCGCAGCGAGAGAGAGAAGAACCATTGGCTCAGATGTGATCACGTGACGCTCGGCAGACAGCGTAGATTGTACATACTGCTCGTATTGCAAGACATCGCTCGGTTATCAAATTAATATTTATAAAAAAAATTGTCTCGTCTTGCAAAACACTCGCAGACCAAGTTACTCGCAATCCAGGGTTTCACTGTACTTGTCTTTAGCCAGAATTCGCAGGTGCCCCATTGATTACCTTCCACTATCATTTCCCTTCACGCATTTGCTGTTTTAACGACAGCGTCGTACACGGTGTCATACGTTGTCAGAACGGACGCAGGTTAAAGAGACGTCGCATTGACTTGAGAGAAGTAAGTTAACAGCTCGGGCAAGATATACGTCGCCGGAAGTGATGATGACCGATATTGTGGAGACTAACTTAATCATGAAAGCAACTTGCAATGTGCCGAAAGAATCGAGTTTTGAATGAGCGTCAATGAGTTGGCCCTCCCGCAGTGATTGAGAAGACTTTTGTTTTCTCAGCTCACCAAACCTATGTCCCATAGTGATTTAAAACCATGAGTCCTGTTTATGCACCCCCAGCTCCTGCACCTTCCCAGCTACGGTTGGTGGATACTAAAGCACCACCCGGGGATGAATACCATAATATTTACACCTATGATGATGATGATGAGCGCACTGATGGAAAAGTACAATATCTAGCACTGAGACTCTTTTATTAAGTGAACATGATCCCAAATTTTAAAGCAAAATAATCATTAGCGTCGTTGTGGAGAATTCCGTTACCAAATACATATGCAGACAGTATGAACTCGTAGAAGGCAGAAATGTGTATAAAGATATACTGTACTTTAATTTTTTAATGTGGAGAGACAAACATGGTAAGGATGCATGTCGTAATAAAACACCACCTTCTAGTGACCCCTTAAACTCAATTTAATATCTGTGGCGTTCTGAGACGTCGGTGCGCATAAGAGGTGCTTCCAGCTGGGATGGTGCGCTGCTGAAATGACCGTCGCGTCTCTGCAAGGTGGCTTTGCCACGAGCTGAGTCTGGTGTAGATGCGAGCCCCGACACGCGGGAGGCTGTGTCTATGTAATTGCCATCGGGTGGAAGTCCGGGGGTGACTCGTTACAAAGGGGAGTTTCTCGGTGTTGAGCCAGGCGCTAACGAGTCGTTGCCAGACTTGGCCAATCGTTCACAGGACGCGGCTTCGGCGTCTCGGACGCGCACTCATTCCCATTATTGTATAATTTGCCTCCCAATCACGGCGTCCAGTTTCATTGCAACAATTGTCGTTGTGCAGGGTTGAGAGAGGGCTCGCTCTAAGCAGATGGAATCAAGGGGAACCATCATGATGGGCCACTTTTTGTTGAGCTGTCATTTGTGGCCAGGTCGCTTTTGAAAAATAAGTTAATACCTCAATGGGCTTTGTCCGGTAGGATGGTGTAGTTGTGTTTCTATGTGTTTGGGTAATTTGTTTACCTTTCTTCTACTTTTCACGACTATCGTGTTTTTGTACCGTTTGTTAATGGAACATTGTTAACCGCACCCACTGGACATCTGTGAAAAAGAGCTTATTAGCTCATCGGATTCCTCAAAGATAAATGATTATATTTTTTTATTCGGATGACGGTGACCTGTGTTACCTTGGCATGAAGGTTTAGTGTCAACATCAAAGGCTGTTGCTATTTTTAACTTGCAGCCTTTTGTTTATAGCCTTCTTCGGTCGAATTCTCCAGTTCTGCACAATGCGGTTGCGGGATTTGGTTGTTCATTCGTGTTTTCTGGTACAGTGTTTGATTTTAACGCACAAATGTGGTCGCGGCCTCAACATTATCCATTATTTGGCACTTTCTGAAGGCTGCGGCGGTAAGAGGCTAATGGGCACATAGGAGAGCCATTATACAGCTTACAACAAAGTCGCAAATCAATTGGAGACGTCTGCTTGAGAGACACACATACCTGTCAACCCATACGGTTTACCCCGTGTATTCTTGTACAGGGAAATTTAGTTTTCAGGTCCATACGGCGTACAGCCTTTTCAATACGGGCACATTTTTTTGTATCTATTTGTTTGTGTTTCTCCCTTGTGATGGGGCTGTTGGATGAACGTTGAGATGTATAAGGGCACGGGGTGACCAATAAGGTCTGAGTTGGTCTGTAATTAGGTAGGGCACTGATGAGGGGTTGACAGCTATGGACACAGCCTAACAACACGGCAGGGTGTACACAGCGAGGGTGGACATCGATGGGGGACTGGGGTGAAACACATGAAAGACAGAGGTGGATTGGAGCAAGTTGGAGCACTTTTGTAAAACTGAATCCTGATACGTGCTAAACTGAATCCTGATACTGAACAGCAATGCGACAGAGCCGCGAGAGGAGAGCACTTGTAGTGGGTACGTGATCGTCTGCCATCGCTTGTGGATCGGAAATGTGTGACGACGTCAAAAGAACGGAAGATGAACAGTGCACAAAGAAGCACGTAGAGGGACGCCCATGCTTGCGATAGCGCTGAGAGATAGAGAGAGAAACACTTGGATTAGAAAATACGCGCAGGTTAGAGACATCGTATAGACCGTGAAGAAAGTGAGCGGGCTTGGGTAGCGAACGTCGCTTGAAGGGGGGGGGGGGGATTGTGGGTGACCCACGATCGTGACGGTGGCAAAATAGGGAACGCTCCAGAGAGTTTAAAGTTTATTTTGTTTAACCGCGTGAGAACTCAAGAGACCAGGATGTTCTCATTTGCTAGAGTCACCTGGGGCATTCGTCTCCCCACAGGAGGCGATGAGTAATTTTCGGATTTGGCAGATTTGGACTCTTAACGGCCGGCACGTAATGGCCTACTTTTTTTACGAATGACGTCACGGAATTTTTAACGTCCACTGTGAAGCCGACAACGCCTAGTATTGCTGCGGGTTATTAAACCCAACCCGCACTCATAATCAGGCTGGCCACCGTATTCGAATCGTGAACCTCTGGAACAAGAGGCGTGCACGATACCACGAGGCCCTGTCCCCCGCCTAGACGCCCCGTCCGCTCCGGCCTAGCGAGGGGGCGAGATGCGTGCCCCCGTGGTCTTTACCGCCGGCAGCACCGGGCACTCCCACCGGTCCCATTGCCGCCAGCGGCACCGCCACAGGTCCATTTGTCACTACACCCTCAACCAGTTCTATTCTTATCGCGACCAGCGCCACCGTCCGTAGCGATTGCCACCACCAGTTCTCTCTGGTGTAGGGCTCCCGTGTGCGCGCGGCCTCCATGTGTCAGAAGGCACCGCGCATTAGAGATCCTTTTCGCGTGATTTCGCATTTCTTAGTAAAAATGTATTAAATGACCCAAATCGCCTTATGTTACACGTGACTGCGGTGATGATTCCAGTTGATGCGATGGATGTGGCGGATGTGTGCCCCTTGCCCCACAGCTGGCCTGCTGCTGCGGCCCGGCCGCCTGCTCGCTGTGCTGCAGCTGCTGCCCGGGCATCAAGACGTCGACGGGCACGCGCATCATGTACACGCTGTACCACGTGCTGGGCACCGCCGCGTGCTGCCTCATGCTCTCCCCCACCGTCTCCGAGTTCCTCAAGGAACACGTGAGCAAACGCGTCATCGAGTCTCACCCTTTTCAACTGTTTTCAACCTCCAATGCAAGCGGCGTCGAGAACGTGCAGTGTGTGGCTCGAGCCACGCGGGGGGGGGGGGGTGGTAGGGGGTGTGGTAGGGGGGGTGGTAGGGGGGGTGGTGGGTGGGGGGGTGGAGGGGGGGGTGGAAGGGGCGGGTGGTAGGGGGGCTGGTGGGTGGGGGGGTGGAGCCCTCGTGCTTTTGTGTTAAATTGCGCTTCTCCCAGTGTGTGCCTCTAATCGTGCGGTGTGTAAACATCGTCACTGGGGAGACACAAAGGTGGCCGGGCGTGGTGCTGGCCACCCACCCCATCACGTGCCGTGCTGGCCACACTCTCAAACACTCGCTCACACTCTGCAGAACAGTGGGAGAACATACAAACCCCACACAGTGAATCAAGCCCGGGTAATTTTTCCGTGAGGCGCGAGTGTTCCCGCCGCGCGCCACCCTGCCGCCCTGCGATGCCGTCGTTGCCCGCAGGTCCCATTCTACGCCGATCTGTGCCACTCGATCAACGCGGGCAACGACTGTGAGCGGCTGGTGGGCTACTCGGCCGTCTACAAGGTGTGCTTCGGCATGGCGGTCTTCTTCTTCCTCTTCTCGCTCTTCCTCATCAATGTGAAGAAGAGCAGCGACTGCAGAGCCTCCGTGCACAACGGGTACGGTGCACGCCACCTTGCACTCTCGCTCGCTCAACCACTCGCCCGCTTGCTAGCCCACTCGGCACATGCCCGGGCACTTCTCTTCACGGGGCACAAGCGTTAGCCGCTGCGCGTCCACCCTGCAGGCCAATAACGTGATGAGATATGGCGAGGTGAGAGTTCGAGGCTTCGGGAGAGATGCCGTGCCTTGTGTGCTGTTTGCAGGTTCTGGTTCATAAAACTGGTGGTGCTCATCGCCATATGTGCTGGGGCCTTCTTCATTCCGGATCAGGACAACTTCATTAAAGGTGAAAAGCACGCTCTTACCATTAAAACTATTTTATATTTTACCAGGTAAGGCCCACCGAGCTATACAGCTCTTTTTCAGAAGCCACCTGGCTACAAATAATAGCTCAACGAAGCAGCTTATTGGGTGGAAATTTATAGCAGCCAAATACTCAAAACGCATGTTTCTAAATGTGGAGGGAAAAGCCGGATGACCAAGAGAAAATCCACACGACCAAGGGGAGAACATGCAAACTCCAGATATACAACAGGCGTCAGGGTCGGAATCAAACCCACGACCTCCTTGTATACCCGGTGAGGTAGTTAACATCTCGCCACCGTGGCACCCCATCGTCCCTTAACGGAGTACATCAACACAGAATCTACAGGCAGAATCCGCGGGCCTCTGCCCAGTTGTTTCCTGCACAAGAGGGACATCACGCTTTACAATGTACCCCACCGCAAGCGGCTTGGGGTGTAACTGTGTTGGGGTCGTTTGTTTTGTGACTGTTTATCTCGGAGCCTTTCTGGCTGACCCGAATTCTGGATTCCTCGAGTTCGACTCCATGACCTTGACCTTCATTACTATTTGTGTGTTCATATATCATACACCTTGGTCGTGAAAGTGGGACGTCTCTTCGGTGAAATGCCACCTAGAATAGTTTTTGGTTGTTTACAAATGTGTTCATTTACACTTTGTTTACACCGTGAGAGCCCCACCTGAGTTTTATTCTTTTACGGGGGTCCTGCCAGGTTTTTCCAGGAGGGGAGGGGGCGGGGCGCTGTTGTTGCCATGTGTAATCCTAAATGAGTAATTGTGTGGGCGATTTCGAATTTGGAAAAATTTGGACCATGATGCCCGACACACAGTGGCCTACTCTTGCCACTGACGTCACATAATCGCTAACATCTTCCTGTGAAGCAGACGGTGCGTAGTATTTTATTAGTATATTTTGGTATTTTTTGTACTTTTTGTATTAACAAAAAAAAGTATTTTTAGTATTTTTTTGTATTTTAAAATTTTTACACAACCGCAGTATTAATCGGGGCAGCCACTGGATTCCAGCAGTGAACCTCTGCAATAAGCAGTCTAACGAAAGAGGCGTCAGGTAAAATCATGGAAATTAAAGTGAGAAATTGCCAGTTTAAATGAAAGAGTAATGTGGCTTGCTGCTGCTGTGCTTGCTGTCTGGCAGTGTTCATGTACGTGGGGGTCGTTGGAGGTTTCCTTTTCATCATCATCCAGCTAATTCTGCTGGTCGACTTCACACACAGCTGGAACAAAAACTGGTGAGTGGAAACTACCCAAACGTCCCGGGGTGTCCACAGGCTTTCTTAGAATTGCTCACAACAGTGAGAGCCCTGAGCAAAGCACAGGCTTCCTGAATGATGTGGCCTGCCAAGCTCACCATGAGAATTATCCGGCTGCTGGTGTGTGTGTGATGAGGTGTGTCTCTTTGTCTTTATGGGGAGGTGTATGTGTGTGTACGTGTAGAGAGAGTGGACCGCTTCTCATACATAGGCAGTGTGGTTATGACAAGCTCCATTTTGGCAACTAAGGTTTCACTTTGAATCAGTCGAGCGGCTTTAACTTCTTTTTAATGGCTGTGTAATGCTCTGTGGGAGCTGCCCGGCCTATCACTCCACACACATCTCTGGGCTTCTCGGCCACAGTTTTTCCCTCTCTTTTCTTTACTTGCAAAACTCCTGGAACCCTTTCGAAGGAACGTCTGTGCCGGTTCAAAACATTAAGGCTGTTACCTGCATTCGATCCATCCTGGATTTAACCAGACTGTATTGTGCGAGGAGCTCGTAGTGCACCGAGCCTAGCGCAAACATTTTGGTGACGCCACTTAGTTGGTATGAAATCGCCGGTCCAAATTCGATTCCCGCTCACAGCCAACATCATTAACGAAGATCCTAATCTGTCCTTTGTCGACTCAGCCTTAAATACGTACCTGCTGCGGTGTGTAAACATCAGCACAAGGGATACAAAGGTGGCCAGGCGTGGTGCTGGCCACCCTCGTGTGCCAATACCGGCCTTTATAGGTGCTCATTAACAGCACTTTTATGTAAGTTGCACTTCTTTCGCATCACACATAGCCAACTGTGCTAATTGGATGTCTGTTAAAGGCTTTATTGGGGATCTTAGTCTTGGTTAAGAGCACTGTGCTAGGAACCCAGTAACCTCATTCGATAGCAAACATCAGCACCCCTACTATCAGACTTGTACCCACTGGCAGGCCGGTGCCGAGTCGCATTGTGCCGCACAGGGATGGCTGCCACTGGGGGTGCCCTTCGAATGTTTCAGAGGGGACGTGGCATTTACGCGTCATACATAAATGCATGAACTGTTCTCATAACTCGACGGAGAGCAGTCGAAACCGTTACGGATGTAGCCGTGCGCGGGTGCACGTGCAAAGTGTGGCCAGTGGCGGGAGCGTGAGCGTGCGAGGCGCTGTCCCCCCCACCGCCACCCATCAGGACTTCCGGCATCGAGAGAAATAAGTGCTGGTACCTGGCGCTGGGCTCGGTCACGCTGGTCTTCTACAGCGTCGCCGTGGTCTCCTCCATCCTCATGCTGGTCTACTACACGCACTGGGACGGCTGCACGTTCAACAAGATGCTCATCGGCCTCAACGTGACGCTGTGCACCCTCGCGTCGGCGCTCGCCATCTCTCCCTGCGTGCAGAAACGTGAGTCGCGATGCCCGCCCCCGGCTTACCCAGGGGGCGGCGCGAGCGTGGTGCGGGGGTTCGCGTGGCGGTGACGCTCGGGCCTCGTGGCCGACACGGGCGCCTCCCTGCGTGGAATTTGCGTGCTGTCAGTGAGTTTGTGTGCGAGGTGAGTGTGTGCATGAGCGCGTTCAGTTGAGTGTGGGGGAGCGGTGGTGTTGTGGTTAGAGCGCTTTGTGCTAGGAGCCCGGTGGCCCATTCACGGCTGCTGATGATGTTGTGGTTACCCCCTTTGTTCGTCAATTTCAGACCAAAGCAATTCGGGGTTGCTCCAGGCGTCCATCATCTCCTGCTATGTCATGTACCTCACCTTCTCTGCCATCTCCAGTCGCCCGGCAGAGAACAGTAAGCCCCGCTGCGCGCGTTGTCTCCCTCCCCGGGGGGCCGTGGCAGCGAGATGTTAACCACCTCTCTTGGTACACAGGAGGTCGTGGGTTCGATCCCGACCCTGGCGCCTGTTGTGTATTTGGAGTTTGCGTGTCTCTCTCTCCCCCCGTGGTCGCGTGGATTTTTCTCCGTGTCCTCCGGTTTTTCCCTCCACATTTAAGAACATGCGTTGTGAGGATTTCCTAGATTTTTTTTTTAGCTTTGTGTTTAGTGTGTCCTTTCCCCACACCTCCGATTGCCACGGTGGCTACGTACAGTGTGAAAGAAGTTCAACATACATATATTTGGCCGCTATACATTTCCACATGATAAGCCTCTTCATTGAGCTTTCATTTGTGGCCAGGTCGCTTCTGAAAAAGAGCTACGTAGCTCAGTCGGCCTTACCTGGTCAAATTAAACGTAGTATAGTACGTGTGGCTGCCAGTACGGGCCGATGATTGCTGCGTGTCGTCCCGATGCAATCCCCCATTCATTGTTTTTCAATTGACACATTTTGACCATGACACCAAGCCACGTCACTTGATCATTAATGTCCGCTGTGAAGCAGATGGTGCATTGTATTTACGGTTAATGCATAACTATGGGACTATTTTTTGCCCCGTATTAAAGTAGCGAAAAAATAATAGGCTTGTCCCTTTTTGCCGTTGTTCTCTGATCTAACAGTGGTTTCTTGGACAATGCACACATTATCAAAGCATGTTTGTTTGCATGTTTTACCACGTGTGTGTGGTTAATTCAGACTTGATGCATTGCAATAGGTGTCTATTTGGTGTTTGAACAGCTTAACGTCTCCTGTTTTATTGCCGGACAGGGTAAAGCCTATCTTTTTTGTCATCATGGTTAATGCACCTGCAGCATTAACCAGGGCAGCTTTCTGGTTTCGAACTTTGAGCCTTTGCTGGCCGTGTCACTGCCATATTTTTGAATTGCGTCATTGAGAGTGCCCCCTCGCTGAAATGCTCAGCACAGGGTCATGCATCTCTGCTGCCAGCGGCCGATCTGTCTATGCGACAGCCACGGTGCGTGTCCCGAACAAACGGTTGCTCAAGTTGGGTTGAGTGGACAGCCAATGGCGATTCGAACTCACGACCTTTCCGCAAGAGCTGGGTCCTATAAGTGCAGAGCCACTTAGAAGGACAATACGCCGCTCTCCTGGAACGATCCGCGCCCCTATGAGAGCTTTTGCCCCTGCACGGCCTTGGAGGCGCCCGTCAGCGCCCGTCAGCGCCCGTCGTGCTAGGGATGCGCGTTGGGTCGCGTTCCGCGGGAACGTCCTCCCCTCGGGAGCTCACCGGGTCGCGGCGTCCCGCGATCCTGCCACCGTACTAGCGCGTGATGCCACGCGCCAACCGCCGTGCCCCTTTGTCGCCGCCGCAGTCGTAGTGGACGGGCAGATCGTGAAGATCTGCCTGCCGAGCGTCACCGAGTCCGGCCTCAAGGTGAGCGACGCGGCCGTGGCTGGGGTTGGCGCCATCATCATGTACGGCTGCGTGCTCTTCGCGTGGTGAGTTTGACGGCGACGGCGGTGCTCGGAAAGAAGGGTCGGGCGCGCTCGCCGTGCCACGGTCATCGCTTCGGCGGTCGCGTTAACATCAGGGTGATGCTACCGGATCTGTAAAGTATAATTATACGTTTGAAGGAATTAGCATAATTTCGTGTATATGAAAATATTAACAAATTAATGGGATTGTTACGTAACCCGCTTGTTTTCAAATTCTATCGGTTAAACATCCAATAACAGCTTCACCATTTCCATTACAAATGTATTCACGATTATCATCATCAGCCAATGTCAGTCCACTGCTGGATGAAGGTCTCTGTACATAGTGACTAGCTCGTACAATTCCACCACGTATCTCGAGTGCGAGAATGAAGTCGGATCTCTGAATTAATTATTGCTTGGTCACATGAACGTGACTCGGAGCCACCAGTTAAAACATTGTCCACTCAGCCGATTGTCCGTGTTTAGAAAGCAGAGAATGAACATGAATTTGCATTCTTAATGAGACAAGGCTACCTCATACTTGTCAAACCATACAGTTTTCCCCATATTCTTGTAGAGGGAAATTTAGTTTTCAGGTCCGTACGGCGTACAGCCGTTTCAATACAGGCAACAACATAAAAGGTCTTTGTGTTTCTCCCTTGTGATGGGACTTTGTAGGATAAACGTTGTGATTTATAAGGGTACGGGATTACCAATAAGGTCTGAATTGGTCTGTAGTACAGTCGGCACTGATAAGGGGTTGACAGGTATGCTACCTCTACAGTGAACTTTAATTTAACATTTTCAAGACACAATCGCATTAATATTTTGTTGACCACCGCGATCCTGACCTCATGTGGGCTCCTGTTCAGGCAAGGCATGTCCCCTGAACGTGCTAGCGACTGGTCGTGATGAGGCTGGTTGTAATTGCCGGCGAAACATCGTACTCAAATTGCAAATGTTGTGGCTTTAGTCTCCAACACACCGGTGTGCTGAACTAGTAACGAATTGGCATTTTTGTTTATGAGGCGGGTTTAACGACACCTTTATATTTACACGATCAAACTCAAATAACCCTCGATTATGGATAATATTGGTCGCGAAAGCCTTCGTGTTAAACATCCGGGGCAGTAGTCCACATTGGGTTCAAGCCATGTGACCAATATGCCTGCCTCAACGCGGCAGCAGCAGCCAGAGGCAGGAATACTGGTCATGACTGTCATCACGAGAACACGGCGGTGACGTGCTCAGTCCTGTGCTTCCCTCCACCGTCCCTCTTTCTGTGCCCCGACTCCCCTCCTCCCCCGCCGGGACCCCCACAGCCTCCGCTCCACCACTCGCTCCTCCACAGCCGCCCTGGGTGTCAGCCAGCCGTACAGCAGTGTCAGCACGGTGCGTGCCCCTTCACAGCACACTCGGCAGCTGTAGCCGCACTCCGGTGTCGCCGCACTCGGCTGCTGTTGCCGCACTGAGCTGCTGTTGCCGCACTGAGCTGCTGTTGCCGCACTCCGGTGTTGCCGCACTCGGGCTTGGCCACGCTCCGGTGTAGCTGCACTCGGCTGCATTCGAACCGTGAACCTCGGCAACAAGCGGCGAACGCGCTGCCGCTGGGCCGCGTCACCACCAGTCCTAAACGAGTTTCTAAACATAATTGTAATCCTTCCCTCTGTCTCCAATGTGCGTATGCGATGGGTATAATTTTTTATATTTTACTGCAATATTATATAAAATGAACGTAGTGCTGCTGGTCTTGGTGGAAGTGTAACTGTGACCATTTCTCTTACAGAGAGCTGCTTGCTGCTTCTGCTTTATCGACGATGATGAAGGTGAGATATTGAAACGAGCACCCTTTGAAAGTCGAGACGTTATCTTCCAAGATAACAATGACGATGATGATTTATTATATTTACTTGGCGTCATTCAGGCAAGTTGCTTCTCAAACGCTGCTCTGTAATTTGTAATGCGCAACAATTTTCACACCGGGGCGCGGGAAAACAACAGACAAGCGTGTTCAGGCATTCAAGACCACAGCCAACAGCTGCTCAAGCTCCGTGGTCCCATATTCAAATGTTTGGCCAACTCCAAATTAATCAATTGGAATCTACATGGCAATCATCACCCCTTACTGCGAAAAAACTTGGCAGGACCCTCCCAATGAAGAGTCCTTAGACTCGGTGAGGCTTTCCTGAGTAAGCGTAATAAAACGATATCAAACTAATAACTCGCTTGCCGTACTTCCGTACCCTGGCAAGTCAGGAGATGGCAGTGGACCTGGATTCCCACGAGTAAGAAGGGAGGTTCACGAACGCGCGTGATCCACCTGTCCCCGTTCTCCGCCGCGCTGGGATGCTACTGTGGCAAGATGTTAACTACCTCACCTGGTATACAGGAGGTCGTGGGTTCGATCCCGACCCTGACGCCTACTGTATATTTGGAGTTTGCAAGTTCCCCCCGTGGTGACGTCGATTTCTCTCCAGGTCCTCCAGTTTTTTCCTACACATTTAGAATCGACGTGCGTTTAGAGTATTTGGTTGTAATACATTTCCACGTGATAAGCCACTTTGTTGCACAATCATTCGTGGCCAGGTCGCTTCTGAAAAAGAGCTACATAGCTCAGTGGGCCTTACCTGGTCAAATTAACAAAAGTTTAGTTTATCATAAAGCGACACGCAGCGCGACCACCAGGGACAGAGCCAGGATTTTGACTTTGGGGGTGCTGACTTCAATATTCTGAGATATCCAGTGTATGTTTTCCAATGGGCGCCACAAATGTATAAAACAAATTTTATTGGATTTGAACGCGGAGTTTATTAATAGGTCGGAGCCGTTGATACGGCTAATAAGTTTGATAAGTTCGAAAGGCTGCCGCTCAAGCAGCCTGCAGGGCAGCACAAGGTGGCAGCCTGCAGCATTTTGCAGCAGCCGGATTTCCGGTTATCCCGATTACCGACTTTCCCAAAATTTCAAGGGGGGCTGAGCCCCCCCCAGCCCCCCCTGTGGCTCCACCCCTGGCGACCACCAGCGCCTGCGTGCGGCGTACGCACGCATGTACCGCACCCCCGACTAGGACGGTTGGCTTATGTACGGCGTGGAAGAAGTTCCAACATACGTACGTATACGTTGAACTTCTTTCGCACCGAACGTAAGCCAACTGTGCTCGTCGGAGGCGTGGGGTGGCACCGCCGAGAGAGCCGCCTTGCTGCAGGTGACGAGGGCGTGTGGGCGGGCAGTTGCCCTCTGGGCTCCACAGTCATCCTTGCTCCACAGTCCTTGCTCCACAGTCGTCCTCTGATCCGCAGTCCTCCTCTGTGCTCCACAGTCCCCGTGAACGAGGTGAACGAGGTGCAACAGGGCGGCCAGAAGGTGATCCAGAACGAGTGCGACGCCGTTGTCTACAGCTACTCCTTCTTCCACTTCATCTTCTTCCTCGCCTCGCTCTACGTCATGATGACGCTCACCAACTGGTTCAGGTGAGCGGAAGGGGAGCGGCACGGCACGTCGTGACGCCTCCCCCCCCCACCCCACCCCCCCCCCCTCGCGATCGGCGCGTACCGGGTACCCTGCCGGCAGGGGTGGCATTTAGTGTGTTCTATTTGTGAATGTTGGTGGAGTGTCTAAAAAAAATATACGCAATATTTGGGGAATTCCGAACTTGAAATAGTTTGTACGTATGCACGTGTTGAACTTCTTTCGCACCGTACGTAGCCGACCGTTCTAATCGGGGGATATCTAGTTGCAGAGTTTTTGGCTGTTATGGCGGACAAAGACCAACACGTCATCACGGATCAAATAGAATTTAAAACAATTTGCAACGGGCGCAGATTTCTTGAAACGGACAAAGCTGTTGTAGGATCGCGACTCGGGAAACTCGGTGAATCCGTTGATGCCCCAACTCCTCAGCTGCGACATTGCCCCCTATTGCAATAACTTAGCAGGACCATTGAAAGGGAGTCTTGAGACCCAGTGAGGCTCCCCTGGTTAAACAAGCGTAGTCATAAATAATGACATCAGCGATGTCATCCAGACACCGGTTTGTTCTGTCAGTCGCATTTCACCTTTAAGTGACGTCGCACCTGGTCCAAGCGCCGAGCGGAGCCTCAGGGCCCCATGCTCTCGTTCGCGGCTTGGCTCTTACCGTTTAACCGAGAAACGAAGCACGCCGGTGACATAGGCCGCCGTGCGGTCGGTACGCTCGCGCATTCCGATCCGTGCGTTCCTGACTTTCACAACCGGTCGCCGATTCTGAAAAGGGTTAACCGGTTTAGTGGCTGTCGACGGCATTGTGACCGTTTTCTTTTCGGCAGCTACGACAACGCGCGGCTGGAGGTGACATTCGTGCATGGCAGCTGGTCGACGTTCTGGGTGAAGGCCGGCTCCTGCTGGCTCTGCCTCGCCCTCTACACGTGGACCCTGGTGGCGCCCATCTGCTGCTCGAAGCGAGACTTCCAGGTCTGACGGCCGCCGGTGGTGGGGCTCTCGGCCCTCGGCCATCCCCTTGACGGCTCCGGCTGTCGTCGCAACGAGGGGGCACGCTTCCCTCTGCCGGCGAGTGCGCGTGTGTGCCCTCGGCCCAGGAAAACAACACCCGACGGGGCCTTGCTGTGCCGTTCTGAATTCTCTGCCTCGCACCCACGCGGACGCTACAGACAGAATTAACGCTGGCCAGAGCGGGCAAGCTTTGGCCACACTTCCACTGAATCTCCCTCCCTCCCTCACTCTCTCAAGCGTTGCCCCCCACACACAGCCGACGCCAGCAGGGAGGTCTGTCTCCTGGTGAGGTTGAAATCGTGGTTGACCGTCTCGCGTCGCTATTTCGGCTCGGGTTAAGGACTCCGCAAGACAGTGTTGGACGCTTTGCACACACACACAGACGACCGACATGCAGTTGTAACACGGGTGGAAGGCCGTGTCGGCTGGGCGGACGACCTTGCGCGGACTCTTAACACGCCATACTCTTACGTGGCACCGTGGATACGAGACGGCCACCCAGCTTCCAGCGACGCTGCTGCTCCTGCTGCTCCTGCTGCCCAGTTGACGTACGGCTGCGTGGGTGGTGGGGGGTGGACGGCATAAACCTTCGTGCGTGTCCTACGTACCGATTCGGTCTTTTTGTCCTGTCGTTTAAACATTGAACGCGACGCCGCACTTTGGTAAATTTTTCGATCCTCCTGCTTAGGGCAGTCGCCTTACGAGCTATGAAACCACCTGCCAGGCCACAAGCTGTGGGTGAACGATCTCCACGCCTTTCTCAACCACTCGCCTCGTCTTCCAACTGCTAATCGGGTAGCATCACTCGAGGCATTTGAAACATTGGCACGCTCTTCACAACTGTTGATCTTGCCATCATTCCTCACCGAGAAGCCGCTTGAAGGCTCTTCCCGCCCAGGTTGGGCACCATTGTGAGGTACAATATGGGACCTTTCTTGCCAGTATCAAAATCTATCAGAAGAGGTTTTGCCCTTTCTGGCAATAAAACAGTTGTGTTAAGATGTTAAAACACCAAACAGAAACCTTTTTCAAGGAATCATGTCGGCATTAACCACACAATTGTGGTGAACGTGCAAACAAAAAGATGCTCTGGTAAAAACTGATTGGTCCACTCCAGAGAAAGCTTTCTTTAGAGCTTAGTCCCAAACATAGACAGCTTTCTTTAGAGCCAAGTCTAGTTTCGATTTAAAGCTTTCGTGACTGCAAGGATTCATCTTCTTTGGTTCTTTCGGTAAAAATAAAATAAAAAATTATTTTATCAATTTATTATTTTATTCTCATTCTACGTGACTTTACCGAAAGAACCAAAGAAGATGAAGCCAAGTCTAGTTTATGAGACTCGGCTCTAAAGAAGCTGTCTCTGGTGTGGATCAATAAATTTCAAAGACAATGCATCATATACTACCAGAGCATGTTTTTGTTTGCATGTTCACCGCAAGTATATGTGGTTAATGTAGACATGATTCCTTGCAAATGGTTTCTGTTTGGTGTTTTAACAGCTTAACCCAACTGTTTTATTGCCAGAAAGGGTAAAAACAATTCAAGTACCATTGGGAAGGTGAGTGGTAGACCAGAGGTCATTTGAACAGATTTTCGAGGTAGGTCACTGATATCCGTTTCTGCAGACCGTTCCCTAACTGTTCTGAGAGATTTCCAAATGGATTTTTTCGTCTGACGATGTAACGCCGATAGAAACGTTGAAGTTACATTTCGGACGAAAATATTAAAACCTCTATTTTTAACGATTGTCTGCTATGCGACAGCAAAGTAGGGATTGCAGGGTGATTTTTATTGGCGTGCGTGCCGCTCATTCTGCTGGCGACTGAGTCCATCTCCCCCTTCTCAATCTGGGCTATGACATGAAAAACACAGAACGCTCCCTTTCCGCTTACATAAATTATAATGTTGACCTTTTGTTAAGTAATTGGGTCCATTGAGTATTTTAGATTTTTAAGCATAGTATGTTGCACAGTATTACCCACGTAAAGTTTCACTATCGGTGTTTCTTATTAACGTACTTATTTTTACTAATTTCAAATTCACGCTAGTAAACTTAACAGATGAATTACATTTGAATCACACAATCATAGAAAAATGTAGTTCGGTTGTTATGTTATTGTTACATTATAGAGCCCCTCTGTATTTTGATGTGAACCTCGCCCTGCTCCATTTGTACGAACAGTAACGAGCATGGTGTATGCAGGAGGATTGCCGTGAGACCCAAATCCATTCCCTGCTTCCCAGCTTCCTGTACTCAAGGCTGCTTCAGTGATGAGGGTTTGGCTCTCTGTCCGTCGGCTAACGAAGCACACTCCCTTGCGGTTTTACATCCGGCATGTTTCTTACATCCATGTTGTCAGAAGGGAAGCGTGATGGCAAAAGGTGCAGAGTTGGCGCACGTGCTCGCAGTGAAGAGTCCACGTGTCCACGCTTGCCCGACTGGGCCTCACGCAGGACTCGGTCCGGTTTAGGGAGTCTTTGATATCTTGTCATTTTAGGGTCGTACGTACACCTTTCCTCCGTGTAAAGCTCAGGTTTAACGGTCGGCATCTGCTCATCGCGAGAGGGTAGAATTTGCGAGAAATCGCTGTAACAAGGAACACAGTGTTGCGCGTGAGTCGTTGAACAAATTTGTCAAGGTGACGGTCCGCGATAATGATGATCACTGCTCCTGTCTTGCCATGATGATGTCTTGGCAGCGCCAGAGAGGGGTGCGTGAGTAACACCGAGAGAGCTGTGAAGGGGAGTCCCCGCGCGTTCCGGTCTCTCACCGTGCCTGCCACCGCACGCGTGGATCGGGGTTCACCCTGCCCCTTGCGTGTCCGCATGGTTCTGTGTTGTCAGTATATTGTTTACTAATGCAATGTTGTATACTTTATAGGTTCAGTGCACTGGATGTGATATACACTGCACCGAATGTTGTGTCTACTCCACGAGTGCTGAGTGTGTTGAGCTTGCTGCGCCGTCATCACTGTTCACCGAGTAGCTTCCGTCGTAGATGCCACTCTGCGTTGGCACGCGAGTGTGTCTGATTTTGCGCGGTGACCAAAAAGGTTGGCCCCCACCACGTTGAGAGCACGCACATGTCCACCATGTGTCCACCATGTGTCCACCACGTGTCCACCATGCTAATATACTTGCACCAATCCATCTGCTAAATACTGTGACCTTGTCAGATTCGATACCGAACCTCCCAAATCACTCCCTCCAAAGTTTCCCACCATCTGGTTTCCGGTCTTCCCCTTTGCCCGCCTCTAACTTGGCCGCCCCCATTCTGCGCGCACGCCCCAGCGATCACAACCCGTGTTGTCCCAGATTGGGGCCTACATTGTTTTCCCTGTTCTATCTCGGGCTTCCTTGGGCGCTGACCCGCCTTGCAAATTACATTCCTAGCGTACTCTTACGGCGTAGTGGTTAAACCCGCTCTACTAAACCACCATGCCTCCCTCATGTGCCTCTCCTCAACCTCCCGCATTTTGGACATCATTGGCCAAGTAAACTAAAACTTTGCCCGCTTCCACATTCTCACTTTCTGATGACACCTACAATAACGGTTCATGAAGGCCCCTGGCTGTGTCTCTCGCCATAAACCCCCGAGTGTCGAATGCTGCGAAAGACGTCAGGAGACACGATGGCCTAGCGACGGTCCTTGCTAACACGCCAGCGTCGTCGCCGCTGCGTGCTCCAGGTTTCTCGCCGTCGAATACGTCGTGGTAATACGTCATCGTAAATGCGTTGTTTCCCAGGAATCGTTTTGGTTACAAAGTGGCCCTGCCAAGTGCCCGCTCTTACCTGCAATCAAGCTGCTTTACTCCAAAATGCTTTCCCTGGCATCCCAGAACATCAGCAGGTGGTCCCCCCCCACCCTCACGTCCCTTCTCTAAAACATTAATCTACAGACACATTGCATTTTATCCACGGTGATGCATTCCTCGTAATCCAGCACTGGAGGTAAAGGTTGGTGGGTCGCACAAACGTTGTCAAGCTCCCCTTCCCGTGGGCGTTGAGAAGGAACCGTACCCTGGCTCTATTCAGGAGAATGCCGTACATCACAAATAGTGGACTCCCCCTGTTCCGTCTGTATCGGGCAGTGTTTCCCCCTCGCCACCGTGGGTTTTCTCCAGGTGCTCTGGTTTCCTCCGACACGTAAGCCACTCATTAATTGGCTGAAAACACCTCATTATATAGGGAACTGCAGATCTTGGGCAATTGTTCGTGCCGGCTCACCGCCTGGATGCCTTCCCACTCGTCCGGTCCCTCGCGCCTCTGAATTGTTCTGTCTTCGAGAGCGGCGCGTTACAAGTTGATATTATTCAGCTGGAAGAACATGATGGGCTGTGAATCTATTTTTCAGTCTCCAAAGCAGATCCACAGCGCCTCCACATTTTCTCGTAACGCAGCTACGACTCCACGCCATGCTTCCCTTGTGCCGTCTCGCGTCTCGAAGCATCCTTGTAGCGGGATGTCGGGCTCAGGCCTCAAATCCGAGAGTACGGCGCGGAGTCAGAGGTGCTCGTGACGTCGTCTCTTAAACAGGTTTCATATCGCACACACTGCTAAACATCACCCTGACCGCTCACCCACAGCCATGCGTGAGATTATCCTCTTGCACTTATAACGAACGATAATCCCTGTCCCCTGCTTGCTGCTTCCATCCCTTTTGCCTACGATGCCAAAGCATGTCACGATGTCGCGTGTCTCTGTGCGTCTTGTTTCACCCACCGCACGTTTCCTACATCGCGTGCGCGCACTAAACAGCGTCCCTCGCCTTGCGAGCATCACGGAGGGTTCTGTACGTTCAAGTGTCCTTGGCTTCTCTCGGCGTTAATCCAGCAACTTCCTTTCATGGTCCCACGGAACAGATATTTCGCTTGTTGGTACCACCTGAGGGTCGCGTAGCTTTAAAAGGTTTCATTTTTTTAAGTGTGGCCAATAAAAGTGAAATTGTGTGATAATCACTTGTAACGAGGGGGGGTGGTCCCTTATCCGGCGCCTCCTGTCGCGGGAAGTTGGCTCCATATTGTCCATGCCATCGGCCTACCCGGAGGCTCGCCTACGTTTGGCATTGCTGTGGTCACCCTGGGGCTTCCATCCGTTTACCGTGAGCCATTGGTCACTACGAGGCTGGACCAGAAGTCCCATCGGCGTCCTCCTTGTCCGTAAACGTGGCTTCGATGGCAGCTGAAGCACCACGTGGCATCCGTCATAACCGCGGACGCGTCCTGCCGCTGAAGTAGATGCGTTGGTGCTGGCGGAGGAGAGCTCTCACTGTTTTAGGGCTGTGTTTAGGCTGCTGAGGTCTGGCAGCCTCCACACCGTGACCAACGGGATGGTGTGGAGGGGAGGGGAGGCCGTCATCCAGCATTGGATTAAGGGCTGAGAACGAATGTTAAAATCACTGTACGACGTTTTTGAGAAACGATCTCAAATCCTGGTCAAGGTTAAAACGTAGAATTTTCAACGAAACAACCATTTGTGGGTTTTTTTCCTGGTGTTTGAGCGTACTTTGGAGTGTGTATGAAGTCGACAAATCATGTTCAAAGCTCGGGCAGGGCTGGCGGTGGTTGTG